CCGAAGGTCATTGGGGCCAAAGAATGATTTCATCAAAACTTTGGAGAAGGACCATCATCTCGTCCTAAAAGGCTCGACAATAGCGTCAAAATTATTCCCTACACTGGCCGAAGATTTCCACTGATAAAGCGGGTTATTAGTTAGCGCCTTGTTTTCAGTGCAATAGATGAAGTTAGTTTGACTGATCGCTTCATACTGAGAAGATCAACGAACACAAGCTGATGTATTGCACCATCAGTAAAATCTCGGTTTTTTGAGGAGATGGGACATAAAGCTAAACAATAAGCATTCAATGCAACAACCTCACCAACTAGGAAAAGCAGTATGCATTTCGCTGCACAAAGAGGGTACTGAAGAGGGAAAAATATAGCTTTCATTTCTTGAAGTCCAAAATCAAAACTAAAGCTAAACATTAAACTTCATTTCAGATGGACCTCTGGATTGCACTACCGTACTGCATCATGAGTGTTTTCTGTCTGATCGATATGCTTGCATTCCAATGCCTATTGCCCGAAACCAAAGGAAAACATCTTATCGAACACATGCCCGGACGTGAAGAAAGGCTATTAGAAGGTATGAGCCAGTATGAAGGCGTTGGCAGGTTGGATTGTCTGTGGTGTAAACACAGGCAGCCATCTACCCACACGTGGCAGCGGACAGGTGTAGTCCAGCACATCCCAGTTGCGACAAAAACGGCGAACGAAGTGCTGTAACTCGGGTGGAGTGCATGGCACTTGCACCAAGCTCCCAACTGACTAAGCGTTTCAGCGCTTCAGTGCCACTTCAACTTGCTAGGAAATACGACGCCACCGCGGTTCTGATAAGAGGGAACACGCGAAGGCGGGGAAAAGCGATTCCTTCCCAGGGCACACATTGGTTGGGGATTTTAGTCGAGTCTGTACGACCCCCCCCCCTTTTTTTTTGGGAGTTGGCAGGGGGGGGCATATAGTACGCATGAAACAGGAAAATCACCAAAAGTCAACCACCACTCCTACAACGCCAAAACGTAAATACGACCCCCCTCCCAAAAATGACCAAGTACGACCCCCCCCCCTTTACAACGTCCATGAAGCGAGAAAAATCAACTATCAAAATAAATTTTTCCCAGCCCAAATACGACCCCCCTCCTGGCGGCCAAATACGACCCCCCCTATTGGGGATTCCCCAACAACGATGTGCCCTGTTCCTTCCCTCCCAACACCCAGCCTTATGCCGCTTCCTACTTTGCGTCCGCGTGCGGCAGCATTTGAACGACCAGGAGCGAAAGGATATCGATCTAGAACGATTTTAAAGACACTCCCCGTGATCAAGTGGTCCTCAAAATGACTCCGTGCCTTTTGAACTGTTATACGCGTTCACAAAGAACATACCACTTTCGTCCCTCAAAACGGCGCGATAAAGAAGTTAGAGACATTTGCGCGTGGCAACAGTGGCGACATCATACTGTAGCTGGACGAGACAACGGCTCGCGAGCAGCTTCTATCCCTACAACACCCGCGCGGCACGTGTCGCGCGCGGCGCTTCTGGCACTTTGCCATCTTCAGTGATCCGAGCTTTCCATAGCGATTAAGCGCAAACCTCGCACTGATGGACATAAATTGAACACGACTCAGGCTGTTTTAGAGTTCCATAGTCTTTGCAAGCGCGATTCCAATTAGGAGGATGTGAACAAAAGAGCAGCAAGCCTTTCTTGAGTTTCATACCCTGCAAGCGATGGGGTGTTCCCGGGAGTTTTTTCCCCTTCTTTTTCTACTGAAGAGCTACTTATGGAGATGCTGGTTCATAACGGAGCACCAACTACCCGCAACACTTGATCGCGAGAATTGTCTTTAAGCGTTTCGCGGGCACTCGCCGAAAACGCCCAAAACGCTCAAAACGCACGTGAAGCATGAACGCAGCCTAAACACAGCGCACACCATTGCAGTCCACAAGCTGCTTCGTCGCAGAGTGCACTTTTCGTTGCGCCGCGTGGCTTCCTCAGCTACAGCGCCAGAAATGCTCACCCAGCCAGTGCAATGCCGTCATCCGGATTTCCTGTACTACACGCAGGCTGAACCTGATGTCAGTCGTAGTTCGCTCAGAGCCCGCCCCACTTTTACTTGGAGACTTTTCCACTTACTCTGCATTCACACTCAACGTTCCCATAAAAATCTCAATTTTAGGACGAAAGTACCGTAAAGCTAAAGAAAGAGTGGAAGGATTGGTAGCTTCATCAGGAAGAGATCTACCGGTATAAATTAGTACCAAGCCACAAATGTTATTGTTAAAGATCAAATAAACTAATATCTCAGATTTATTACGTATTACAATAACATCTTCAACTTTCCATAAAGAAAATTCCAGAACGTTGTTCTTCGCAACGATCGACTTTGGAAAAGAAAGTAGAAATCACATACAGCGATGCACATATGTTTCAGGACTAAAAGGGATCAATCCACTAGAAAACTCTACGTTACTTACAACAAAATAATGAAAACACGAGAAAAAAATCATATATGAATACGAAGAAAAAAGGCAGCGGACTCATATCTGAAGAGAGGTGCGAGGCAACAAGACAATATCAGCTTCAAAACATCCATGAGACGCGGGCCTATTCAAAAAAGAGAGAAACGCAGCAAATTTAGTTATCAAAACTCCACAAAAAATAAACGAAACGAAACATGTAAAACGAGCAAAAGCAAATAAAAAGCGTTTGACGATGTTCGTCAAATGAAAGCGTGCATTAACAAATAAAAACACCTAGGGTACAATAATATCGTCCTAACATACTGAACTAATCGAACATGAAGGTTGATTCTCTGTTAAAGATGCCATTACGGTTTGCTGGGCGGACGTGGCTGTAAAAGACGTCATTGGCGCGCTTAGGAAGACGCACCAATGACGTGTTTTCTGGGCTCCGCCCACCCTGCTCGCCCTACTGACTTCTTTAATCCAGAACAGAACTCGAACAACATCAGGTGAATTAAGAACATGAATAAGACAATAATGAAAGAGCTAGTAGTATTAGAATCTGAGTGCTAGTAAAGAACACAACGCTTCATCGATCGAAAGATGGGGTAGAACCTGTGTAAAGTCAATTCTTTTTAAAGTGTATGTACGCACGTAGCTATAACGTGAAATATCAATGCTACGTACTCTAAATGTCCACCGAGACAGGTGCTAGAAAAAAAAGAAATAACGGAGAAAGAAAAGTAATGGATGAATAGAGGAGAAAGTAGTGCGATTACCATAACACACACACGTTGATCACATCTGAGGAAGAAGAGGAGGAGAGGAGGAGGAGGATAAAACTCATCATCAAATAGGCATTTTGGGCTCAACTCCAACAGTAGCGTCTATCACAGATATGGAGAATCAATATTATGCGTGACATACAGGGATAGTGAATTGGGTAGCGTACATCCTCTTGTTTTGCTCGTCACGAATGACGAAGAATATCAAGCATAGTAGATACATTTCGAAGAGATCGTTGACAACGAAAGACGACGTTCTGGGCAGTGATAATGCAGTGTTCACAGACAACGACTCACTGAAGATTACTCCGATCACAACATGTTGGGCGTGTCCGACCCCGTGGGCGTGGCCGAATCGTAGACGGTGTCATTGTCGCGTACTTCCGTTTGCAAACGACACTGATGTTCCAACGTGCCAGCTCCACAATCACAGAAGAATCTGCAGTAGGTTGATTAACTGGTCGCCCTTTAGTGATGCAAATGTTTCTTTGGCGCAAACAGTAAAAATACGCTAGTTCGCTGCGAACGAAGAGGCGTGTCAGGGATTATGATAGTGCCACGGATGCCAAACCCGTTCTCTGCTCGTTGTCGAAGCGGGTATGCGACAAGAATGGTAGAAAACGAGTGATAAGAACGATATGATACAGTCTTGTCATTTGCTTTTTGAGTTGACACGCTGTCCAATATTCACATGCACATAATTCACAGGAGGTAAGACGCCAAGTGCTTACAACTGTGCCCTGCCCCTCTCTCCTTAAAAGTTATGGGCACCCTTACGTCTTCTGTGCCCATCACTTGAAAACGCGCCGTCCAACTGTTTTTACCCCTTACAAGGCATGGGGGATCTTCAGCAAGGGATATATTTGGTCGCTGGATGTAGGAGGAAGACTTATTTACCCTTGAGAAGAACATTTTCGGCCGCTGACTTGGTTGAAAAAGGTAGAAACTTGGGAGCATTCAGGTAGATGGTAGATAGGATAATGAAAAGGGATCGGGGTGGATTCGTACCAGACGAAGAAATATTCCGCGGAACATTTCACTCCGCAACGTAGTTAACACTTCATCACAAACAGCTATTAGGGGAAGTTTTTGCAAAACGGGACCCTCCTCAAGTTTCACTAGTACCACCCCCTTCCACATCCCATCCCTTATATCCTATTTAGCAACTTCATAACTTCCCACCTTCTCACCGTTTTCCCCAAGAAACTGCCGTCGAGCGGAGGGAGGGAAGTGAGGGGTTCATACAGCGAAAATCGAGAGTAGTCAACAACCAACAACTGGGAACATTTTTCCCAATGGCAAGACACCCGCCCTCCCTCCCGCGGCCCTCGCTGGAGATCCCCGACGTTCGACGTGTCCTGATCACCAATCACTACAGCCCCATCTTCCAAGGCTCACAATTACTGCTACAACTGTTTAACCAATCGACATACTTACAGAAATCCAAAGTATGAGTATGAATCAGATGAGTATGAAAGAGGATGAGTATATGAACTAACCGATCATGACGCACGAACTCGACAGTATGACCTCGATGGCAATTTTTGATACAGTTAATACAGATTGCATTTCGATCTGTAGTGTTACAGCTGACACACCTGGAACAAGAAAATAGCAGGCTGAAAAAAGTGGAAAATTTCAAAGGGCAAAATAAAAGGAAAACAGGACTCACCGGTAAAAATCGTGCATGGGGAACGACGTACAGCTGCTTATCTTGAAAAGACACTGGCCTCGTCCGACAGCTCTCTCCACCGCGTTGTGATTGTCGTAGATTTTATTGTCACGTAACACTGGTTTTACATCCGTAGCGAGACATAGACCTACAAAGCAACACGTAATGAAAACTAAAATAATACAGAAAAAAATCACAGATTAAATCAATCATCGATGAGATACCTCCGAATTTATTGTGAAAAAGCTGATTGGCTTCCAGTGTTGCAGAAGCACCATTTGTGATCTCTACTCCAGCAGCTTTCCCCTCGAAAATTCGATTTCGACGAAGTGTTGGGTTAGATTCGGTGGATATCAACACTCCTGCTTGTGCATTGCGATAGATGTCATTGTCTTCAAGAAGACCTGAATCGTTCGCGTGAATATCAACAGTCTAATACATTAACAGCAAAAAAACTGCAGAAAAATAAATCGTAAATAAACAAAAACGCCACTCACCTCTTCCATTGTTAAATATACACACACCACCATCGCGTCCGTCGTAAATCTTGTTTCTGCGAAGTGTCGGATGACTGTCTGTCTTGATCCAAACGCCCGCCATAGCGTTGTCAAAAATCTCATTGTCTAAAGAAGTAAGAGTAATAGCACCACAAGTGACAAGAAGGATCTTTCTTTCTCTGATCCTCTAATCTCCTCTATGAAGAAAATACATATCGACTAAGGAAGTTGGTTAGGTGGGGGAGGGGCATTTAGTTACTAGACATACTGTGCACTTTCCCCCACAACGTGAACACCTGCAAACCCCTGAAGGACTCACAATGGTACGAGTTTTCAAGTAGACGCCATTTCTCCTTCTCTTCACAGGATGCTGTGAAGAAACGATTTTGGGACGCTACCTAGTGCAGCAGTCTGCGAGGAAGCTCTCTTGAGAAAAGGATGGGCTTCCTCCTTAGGTGCTCCAGGGTGGGTATTGAACGATTCCACGGCATCTGAGCTGCTGTTCTCCCCACTTCTCAAAGAGCCCTGCGCTTACGACCCCTTTCTTAGCGGTTAGATACCCCTTCGTCGTTACCTTCACAAAAATGGCATGCGCTATTTCTTCCCCTCCCCCTTCACACGATCTTATCTAAGCGCCGATTTCTAGTGCTCCAGGCCCGTTACGCACGGCTGTGGAGGGTGCTTCCCAATCGCGGTGAGTGGGGCAAAATA